GCAATTTTATTAAAATTTAAGAGCTCAGGAACAATTTGTCAAGTCCCTACTAACGTAAGGGACTGAGAAATGTCTGTAAAAAAGAACATTTTTAGGGCCTCATATACAGTAAATCCTACATCTGTGACTTTTCAACATCCATTTTAAAAAAAAAAAAAAATCAAGAAGAGAGCTTGCTTCTATACCTCTAAAAATATCTACACGGACCAAACCTGCAAGCACTTATGTAGATGAGTAACTTTACTGCCTGTGGAGCTCCAATGTGAGTTTGCAGGATGAAGCCTAAATGCATCTTTGGTAAACAAGTCATCAATTACACACTTTAGGGATGGCAGCACCTGTGCAAAGCCTTCAACTCAAACGACAGACACTAAAGAAATAAAAAGCAATTATCAGCTACTAATTTGAGTAAAATTATTTTCTTCTTAGAGCTAAACCCACAAATTTCAGTGACACTGGGTCTATTTTTGGCAACTAATAATCTTTATTAGCTTATTGTACAGCAGAAATTCAAGCCCTTCAAAAATAAAAGGTTCACAAATTTTAACATTTCACTATTTTTCACACTCCTTTGTTGATTATAAAGATTTCCTTGTACATGCTTTTAGAGAAAACAAAGGCCCTGCTGTGTGGGATAAACAAAACCAAACTAATTAAACTAAAGCCACCTTCACAGCAATTTTAAATTACTCCTAAATGCTTTTGATTTCTTAGTCGACGAGTATCTTCCAACAAGAGTTTGAATATGAAACTCATACCAGCTATAGGGGAGACATACTACTCAGTTCTACGATAAATGGTTGGTTTGCATTGCCCCTGGTCTTTATCTAACACTGAGAATAGGCTGCTTTTTATCAAAAGAGGAATAAATTGCTGTTATTGTGATGTTAGCCCATCACTTGGCATTGCAATTCAAGTTTTTGTGAGAAAGAAATGTATGATCTAACTGCGACTTGACCTATGCCTTCTGAGATCCATCTAGGTGCTCTAATGGAGCATAAAAAGTATTGAATACAAGGACATGCAAACCGGTAGTGAAGAAATTTGTTTGAGAAGAAGAGCAAAGAGAAAGGGACTTTCATGAGCTCGTGGTTTACATGCTGCCCAATTTGTTAAATATGGAAGAACGCTTATTGCCGAACTGCAGTTCTTTTAATTAATGTATTTTTCAGCACGATCCTCTACACTTCCTTGCAGCTGGGACCTCCCTCTCTCAGTCATGGTCTCTGCCTCTCTCCCTTTTTTCACCTTTTTAAAAATGTTGTGGTTTAAGAGACTGTACAGGATTCTTTAATGGTCCAGATTGTTTTTCTGAGAAGTCATTAAAATGGTCTGGTAAACTGCTAAGAAAATAAGAAATTGCTGCTGTTTCTTTGTAGGATTTTTAGCTTTCCCACTAGAAGAAAAGTCACATTAAATATTTATCAAATACTTGGGCCACTATATAAACTAATTTAAGGGAGATAGTTTGATTACACTACAAAATCCTTTAGTTGTTATAGTGTTTCTTGGGATTTATCAGAACAGGATGTATTTTTTTAAAAGCCATTTCTAGGATAGTAGCATTTAGATTTTAGTCCTGATAAAGGCTCACTTTCCATTCATAGTCAGAACCTAAATGTGCTCTTCTTGTACCTAAACAGATAATAAGCACTCAGCACACTCCCCCTTCTTGACACAACACACTGAGACTAATCACACATAATTGGAGAGGAGGAGCAGAGGGGCTGGGCAGGCTATTGTGTCCAAAGGACAAATGGTCAGTTTATGAGGCTTTTGTCTGATGCATAATTTCTTATACATCTACAGGAGGAAAAGCCCTGCTGGAAAAAAACATATACACACACACACACACACACATATATAAAAGCCTTCAACACTGAAGCAAACGAGGACATTTCAGTCATGGATAGAAAAATCAACAGTGGTATTACCAAAAAAAAAAAAAAAAGGCAGAAAAAGCTGAGCATTCAATAGGTGCACTTTTAAAAGATCTTAAGACAACTATTTCCTCACTAATTAAATGTGAATGCATTTACCACTTTACAACCAGTTACATAAACCCACAAAGTATACTATTCACGTATTTTCTAATACACCCCAAAAATAACATATAAAGAGATTAACAAAGTACATGCAAGTTTAAAGGCACAAAAGAGGAAGAAGCCAGCTTTACACCTTTGTTAATGTATACATGTGAAGTCTGATCAGTTTTAGGCTGGAACATAACTGGAAAAATAATTTCTAAGATGATACAAAAAAGATGTCTCAATGCTTACACACTGTGAAACAAGCCACAATATCTTGCTCCACGTTTAGATTAGAAATAATTCTCTAACGATGACTCAGGAACAAAAGGAGGGAACTGAGCCCTCCCCACTCCTGACCATCCACATACATGGATTAATTTTCAGAAGTCCACCTTAAAATAATAAAAAAAAAGTGTCATCTTCTATCTGTGTTTGGTTAAA